CTTTTAGAAAAAAAAAGGAGTTTAATACCCAGACCTGAGGACGTAGGGTCTTGGTTTGCTCCTCTAGTTTGGCCCTGGTCTGCAGTAGCTCCATCTCCAGCCTAGCCTGCTGCATCTTCAGTAGTTCCTGCTGCTTGGCGATCAGCTGTGAGCGCAGCAGCTGTTCTTGCTGTTCCTGGAGCTGCTGCTGCATGGCGGCTGTGTCCGACTCTTGCTGTAGTGGGAGAGGGACAACACCTCTAGACCTAGCCCTTGTAATATAGGCATTGCATACAACTCCTAATAATCCCTATAGATCATATGGCAGCACTTCTTCCGTCAAGTCAGATATGTTTTGCTTCAACTTTCTCGAAGTGACACTTTTGATGGATAAAAAGATGTACACTCTACAACTGAACTTCAAAGATGACCACTAGGCCTTGATAGGAATTCAACTATGTTCTTTCAACACAGCTCACTCTTACAGAATAATCCTCTCAATCACCATCTTGAGATAATTTGAATAAGAGATTGAACTTTTTCCAAACACGTTTTCTCAAGTGGAAATCATGTAGTGAGTGAGTAGCCTTTCTACTGAGAGCTAGCTTTTGTGGAGAGACTTGTGAGTGGGCAGTGTGTTTTGTGGATGTGCAGACTTGTCGTTATGAGTAGGCAGGTCTTCAGTGGAAGTGTCAGATTTTGCAGAGGGTGAGCTAGACTAAGAATAGATTGGAGTCATTCAAGGGAGGGGTTCCTCCATAGAAGCACCCTGGAATGAATGAATTACTGTATATCTGTATTATGATGGGAAAGTGTGTAAATGGGGCAGGGGGTAATATAAGTGAATTTCCAAGCTCTTGCAGTGCACGTCATCTTTAGGAAGGTGATATGGGAATGTAGCCTTCTTTGCAGACTCTACAAGTCAGGCTTTTTTGGTGCTGTATTTTGTTTTCCCTTGATGTCCTATCAAAAAGCCTGATTCCTAGAGCCTGCTAAGGAGGCTACCTAAATGTTGTGGTAGAGCAAGTGAAGAGACATGGTGTGGCTTTTAAGGGAGTGTAGTGACCTAAGAACATGTTGAGTTCCTATCAAGGGTTATATCAACCCATTTCAGGATACAGTACTCCAGTTACAAAGATTCAAGAGGTGCATTTCATAAGATCAGCTTTTTAGTTTTTAAATAAAAGTTATGATGAGAATATGACATCTAAAACATGGGGTGGTTCAATAAAATGGAGGGAAAGGGCCCAAACCACAAGATTTGGGCACTCTCTTTTTTTCATGTTCGTCTCTCGGAAGCATCAACTGACACTCTGGTGACATATATACACTCAACACCTTACAATGTAGAAAGTTGCATTTGTCTATTATGTTTGATAGTACAAATGCAGCAACAGAAACTCAAAATACAAGTCAAAATCACAAGAACCTGATAACGTCTCTAACATACCTTCTTGAGAAATTTTGGGTTGACATGTATACTGGTGGAAACTTGCAGCTCTGCTGGCAAAGGCTTTACAGGCCAGGCAGGGTCAATACCCTGAACCCGACTGTCTAATGCATACAACTTCTTTGCGGTGAAGATAGTGTCCCAAGTTGAGCGCAACTTATACAAGGACATTCGTGTTTTCTCATCAACCTAAAACAGGAGAGAAACTAAGTTTCAGGCTTTGAACTAATAACAAAGATGACAGTGTGTCACTGGCCATAACATAAAAACAGCATCATGAACTGAGTTATATTGGTGGTATCTCAACCAGTGCTATCTTCTATTACAATAAAATGCAACGATCTTTTGCTAGTCATCTTGGTATCTGAATGCCTGGCAATCACTGCATCCAACCTATGTTTTTTAATGCTTATTCAGTGAATACTGTATTTCTCCTAATAAAGGACACACTCCAAATAAAGTGTGCTGTCCCGTGTCCCAATTTTTCTCATGGGAAAAACCTGAATAAAGTGACCACTTGGACTCTGCCTTTGACCCGAAGTGCCGATTTGAGCTGAATTGTCAAAAAAGTGTGTCCTTTATTAGAAGAAATACAGCAGAATAGAGCAGCTCCTAGATCTTCATCCAGGTATCTTCCACAGCTTGCTTGTTGTAACCGTTCTCCAGAGCTGGCAGGTTTAACACTGTCATCATCTGATCTCTTGTCCATGCAATGTATTAACAGTACAATTCCACATAACTTAGTGTATAGCATCTTAAGATTATCTCTTCATCAACGTTATTCTCGAGTCAAGACAGTACAGAACATTACATTCAATTTTGGTACATTCTCTTGAAGACCAATAGCTGTGCCTTTTTTCGTGTCATAATTCAAACATATGTAAGCATGAGTTTTAAATTCATGTTTGACAAGTTACAACCCAAATCAATCAGGGAAACAAACTAAGAAAACATCTACAGGATCACAAGAAAGTACAACCAGTGAATCTATGTATAGTTATGAGTGTCCATTTCAAAAGTACGAGTACACATCCTGACCTGCTCAAAGATATTACAAAATGTTGAAACGATATTCTGCGAGAAGAGGGTACAGTAGTCTCCTCCAACGTTCTTAACAATGGAATCCATCAGGTACATTACTGGCAGCTTCTCCGATGATGTGGCCTACATTCAGAAAAACGGTAAGATCACAGGCATGTTAAATGGTATATGAAAAGTACTACACGTCTAACAACTTGAAATGAGCACAAAAGCTTATAGCTCAATTCAATTATTTCATGTTTGCTTTGGTCACTGTATTTAATTTTCCTTGCCATTTAGCATAGCTCAACATTACACGTTAACTTTTGTATTCCAACATACATGTTCAGTATATTGTCTAGTAAGCACAGTATTTGGTGCAATGGAATACCTGTAGAGTAGAATACTAGAAGAGCGTTAAAAAATCTTATTAGGCTTTTGGAAACATTGTCGGGTGATCAAGTAGACCCTAGCAATCCAACTACATTGACCTCCAAACACTGTTGCTTGAAGTTCAAAGTAGAGAGTCATCACAAGGGAGCGCGAGGGTGTGGTTCTCTTACTATTAGAGTTGAGGACCTTTGTTGTTCGAAGGTGGAATGTTCTCAGTGTCAGTAGCATGGATCACACGAGTCAAGAGAGAGCTTTAGTTTTCTATGTACCAATGTAATGTGGTTGGTGCGTGTTGCATGCAATCTTTTGTTAGAACCAACATGTGCTATTTTGATGACATATACCATATACTGTAGATGAAAACATGAAAAAAAATAAGGTGTAGAAATAGCGTTTGACCTGTTACCAACACCATTTTTAAATGCCAAATAGCATACGTACAAGAGTATGTTTGTATACAGTTTGCAAAATGATTATGTGTCAAATTATAGCTTTGAATGTTGGAGACTGCAGTAATTCTAAAAAGGACGCTACATAAGTGGTTAGTCTAGGAGCTAGGTGAGCAAATCTGACAACATACTACTTAAATATTGATTTCATGGCAGTCAAGTGATACTCCAAATCTGGCCTTCATACGCTGAGAGACAGACAATATCTTTACAATGCCTGGAGGCTGTTTGCCAAAAAGCTAAAGGACTACCTACGCTTTGTGCACTCCACATGTTCCAGATTCTATTTCCTGACTTAGTTGTCTGCTTGTAAGTGAAATTAGCAGTATCAAGTCCAACATTAATGGTTTCTTTCCCATGGTTTCAATGTGCTAACATCAGCACTTTATATTTTCGTGCCTGTAGCCATTGTTACAATGTGCTTGTACAGGTGTTAACTTACCACCATGGCTGGGTGTATTTTACTGCCCAAAACCCTGAGTAGGTGTCCTTGGCTATGCATGAGTAACTGCAAACATCACAATGCCATCCATCCAGTATTTTTTCTTTTCCTTCAACCATACTTCAGTCTTTCATACTGACCATTCAACAAGAACAACACACTAAAATGCACAACACAAAATATCAAGACTTTCACACACAGCTCAGTTTCGAATTAGACATGATCCGAGCACACAATATAGTTAAGTTTGCGTAAGCATGAACAAAAACCGTAAGATTTCTTTTTTTGCAACTTGGGTTCACAAAAATTAATCCGGCGAGATGTACACAAAACCGCTGTTGACACCATCTTTTGCCTGGACCTCGATCAGCATACCCTTCCTCTGCTTTGGAATGCTTCTCTGCACTGCATGATGAACTGCATCTTACTCTTAGTCAGTACTAGTAGTTTCGCGCATAGTTTATCTCTTTGTTCAGAATACCATGTGAACTTCCATCTGCGTGAACAGCTCATTTACAATGTCATGATTGCCTGATAAAAAAAGGTTCAGCTTCCTCATTTACCAGTATGAACAATAGGTGAAGACTCCTTGCATACCCGACAGTACAAGTATCAGATCATTTCATTAACTTAAGTCACAAAATGACGGAATTATACATAGTTTTATATATATGACCTTGACCTATTCAAGATTATCTGTAAATGCATCTATATGACGCTTTTGTTATGGAGACCTTGCATATTCAGTACCTTATATTTTTACAGCACATACTAATTAGTACCTTTCAAAATTATATAAATATAATTTATGGAACCTGTGACCCATATTTTACTTTACCATTTTACTTTACCAGTAAAAAAATGCACTGATTTTGACTTTTCACCAGTATGCTGTATCGTGGGGAACAACATAATTTGCGGGCATCAGTCAGCATATATGGATCATAATTTATCATACACAAATAATTTATCATGCAGCATATGGGTAAGCTTTACTGGTATGAACTTCAGTCACTGGGTGTCACCTTAAGTTATATATTGCAGCCACACAAGTACAAGATATTCCTTTATTGTTGGTGGAGCGCACAAATTGTTCAACTTAAATCGCCGAGTCTTAAACACACACAACCGATTACTTCTTATCATGAGGCCTTTCTGAGAAGTGTCTGGGCTGGGTGGCTCTTATGTGGGTCATCCACACAACGCCATCTGTTAGTTTCGCACGAGTAAAATCAACACTATATTTTCACAGATTTTGTTCTTGTTAAGCTAAGAAAGGATAACTATGAAAAGACGTCAGAAACTGTGTCACAGGACGTGAAAAACTAAAGTGCGATGGCCTTGTGTAGATGTACTGAAAGCGTGCAGAAGCACAAAGGCACGCACCACAGCACGGTCCCTGACCTTCTCACAAGTCGCGTCTATCGTCGGGAAATTAGCACACAAAACGCACATATTCGCCCGCAAAATAATATACAAACATCTATTAACGCTGTGATTAATTCACTACTGTAATAAACTAGGGTAAAACCTTGTTCAACTGTGCCTCTATAAGCCTGACAATGTGCGGCGCATATTTCACGTTTTCCTCGGCCAGCATCGTCAGCATGTTGATGTGCGGCTTGCTGTTGAAAGTCAGGTCGGCCAGGGACGACTCGTACTCTTCAACCACTGCGTCCGCCATCTTCGGGTGCTGTACACTATAATCTAACTAATCTGACAAAGATCGAACGATTTCGACCGGCTTTTGAGGGGAAAAGAGGGGAAAATGTGTGCGACACTTCCCCCTCTGGCCTACTCAAGATGGCGTCTTGAAACCGGTCTACGCGCACGTCGAACAGGGTGGCTTCTCAAATTCTTTTCTTTGCACTGATTGGCGAACAAGCCATTATTTTGGCGTCGCGGGAAAATTTTAACCAATCAGAACAAGTCTAAGGTCGGTTTAAACTCATGTGATTGAAGCGTCATCGGTGACGTAGCATGGAAGGCCACACTGATGAATCATATTTCCGTTTCCGGTTTCTTCCCACAAAAACAGAGAAGTCATTCTGCAACGTAGCAAGAGTTCTGGAAACCAGACCGGTTTTGTTTGTGTTTCGTGTTGGATTTTCACTCGTGGCAGTGTGAGTCATTTCGTAGGAGACTAATGCACGAAAATTTGGAAAGTTAGTCAAGGGAATTATGACAGGTTGCAGGCTTATAAAAGAGACGTGTCGACTTGCAGGTGAAACGATCGTTCTGTTGTAAGGGATCTGTCAGCTGATGAAAGCACAGTGCAGCAAATTATATATTACAACAAAACAGTGAATATTGTCGTACCCTTTCGTATTAGCCTGCTCCATTGCTACAGGTGTCTACCAGGTGAGTATTGCCAGCTTGTCGTCTTTGTGTTGTTTTGTATAATTATGAATCTTGTAACGTTGTGTCTTGGCTTCAAAATTTGTTTCAAAATGGTGAAACCAGATAATTTGCCTTCTAGTACTGCTGATACTAATTATTTGTTCTTTTCACAAAAACAATGAGTCATTTTTCATCTAACTAGTGATTTTGATGCTTTTGTATTTCTGAAATCAAATCACCCCTTAGATACAGATCATGTCCATCCTTACCCTTAATACGCATACTGTCAATGGGATACATAAATATGATATTATGATGCAGATAGAAGATTTAAATATTTTTAATAAAAAAAAAACAGATAATGATATTTGATGTCCTTAGTGGAAAAATAGCTTCAGTGAGCTAAAAGTGGATGGAGATCATCTTCCTTTTTCCATAGACCCATGGATTGTCCTTGAAGTCATGCCAAGATTATTTCATTGAACAATGACTTCAATAATTCAAACTGAGGTCTCCAAACTGACAGTGCCGTTCCCATATTCATCATTCAACATTCTTGCATGGTGCTTTGGTATAACCTCTTCCAGGCTTCAGAGGTGGCTGGAAAGAGTAGACTAGTCATTGACTTTGCTCCTGTAGCGAACCAACTTCCCTGGCATGTTATCACTCTATTAATATTTGGTCATAATTTCTACTCTTGTGCTGCCTGTGAAGCCTGATAGAGGCTAGCTTTGGTATTCAGAAGTCTCAACAGGAGATCCTTTGCCTTGTGTTTGAAGTCAGAAGATTATGGATGTCCCTGCATGCTCCAGTTCAAACCAGGCATGAACCATCTGTTGTCAGGCAGACACAGGGATGAGCCAACCATCTGTTCTCACTATCACTCGTAAAAGAGTAGATTAGGAACCATTTGGACCTTGAAATTAGCCAGAAATGTATGGCATTTGGAAGTTGTTAGTTGACACTATGAACAAAAGACAAATTGTACCCACAAGATATTAGTAATTACTTCATAGACTGAAAACAAAAAGGTAAATTGTACCCTTCAATTTAGTTCAAAGCTCCAAATTACTAAACCTGTCCAATTTGTTTACACCTGTTTTTTTGTGTGCATATCAATCAAGGAGGGTTTAAACCTCCTTGCTTTAATAGTTAAAATAAAATGGTTGATCAATAAACTTTTTTTTTAACTGAAAGAAAATGAAACAAACATGTCCTAGTTGTGTATCTTCTCATGTGCTTATGTTTTATACATGTGAGCATGATTTTTTCCATGATGCTCAGCTGGCTAAAAAGTTTCAAAATATCTCTTTATGATGTCCTTACTATATATATATATATATTAAAGTTAGGATAACATCGTACCTATAATTTTCATTGAAGACAAGTTGATCAGCTTTGCATGCTGTCTAATGTAATATGCTTTAGTGCAAAGGCTAAAACACTGAAATTTTTAGAAACTTGGATATTGCAGGAAAAGAAACATCAAGAATCGACTTGATACTGCACTAGACACAACTAGAAACTGCAACTGAAAACAATTTAAGAATACTGCAACTAGAAATTAATTCCGAGTAAGGCTGGAAGTTGCCTAAAATAGATTTGTAGATGTATGTAACATGATCTATACTTCAGTGAAGGTGTTGACAGAAAAACCCAATTTCACTGTGACCTCCATATGGCCCTCTCTAGACTCTGGGGTATCCATATCATTACTGTAACATTGGCATAAGGGCCATGACTACTACATAACAGGGGTTACATTGCAATGTTACTGTATAACAATTACATGGTCTGGTTAAAACAGATCAGATGATCCATTAACTGGAGTGCCCGTTGTAAATGGCATTTGCAGATCACATTAGACTGTTGTAAGTCATACCATTTCAGAATATCTTTTCTTTTTTTCGTTTGCCCGCCCTACGGCGGGCAAACGAAATTGTGTTCGCTTTCCTACATGCTCCTAGGTAGGTACGTACGTACGTTCGTTGGTCCTAATTACGTCATCTTTCTGTTGTCCGAGTCGGGTCATTGTGTCTGCGCTGTCTGCGCTTGGGGTCCCGTATGTACATGAAGCGCTAAAAATTGGGCTACTATAAGATAAAATGTCACCACAGCTCTATGTTTGACAAAATTAAACATTTCAATAATTTCACGTTAATTGTTCTTCCTCAGGAATGTCAACTCGTTTTATAAATACTCCTTTTAAAGCCTAGCTTTCATGGTTTCTCTAATGGCTCAATTGGTAAGGAGGCTGTACTGGCAATGGCGGTGTCTACACGCAGTGAGTTCGATCCCCGCTGCGGAACTTTTTTTTTAATTTTCTTTTTAACAGACGCTGTTTTGCTTTTAACACTCAAAAACTTATTATTCAAGTCTCGACATATGTCTTTTTTTTACTTTCTTTTTAACATCTGCTGTTTTGCTTTTTAACATTCAAAAACTAGTTGTTAACGTTACTACTTATTATTTTAACATAAAAAAAACTAGTTGTTATTACTGTTCTTTCCATTATATGGGCAAGTGTTGCCTGATATTGCATTCTTGGGGATTAACATTCTCGCCATGGGTAATATATTACATGTAGTATGGCCATTGACAAGCTGCCAATATAAAAAAACATGCACAATTGAAATCAATTGCTCCTGACATTACATAAGAAATCTTTGTATTTCAGATTTGATAATTAAGAATCTAATTTCCTCACTTAAAAATGACGTGAACTAGCTCCTAATGAGCATCAATTCTGGTTATCTTTTCCTAAACTATCTACATGCCAATAGTGACAATCCCAATGTACATGTGTATGTAGTATAGCATAGCTAGATTTCAATCAAAGACTTTATCATCACTTCATAAAAAAAACATATTTTTTGCAAAAGACAAGAATAAAGAAAATTGTTGTACAACCCAAATGTGTGAGTCTACTTCCAATACGTCTTGCTAAAGTATGATACACTAGAATTACCTTTTCACTGTATCACTGCGATGTACATTTTCAATTGCTTATAATACCTAGAAATTTAGCGTCAGCAACTCACAAACCAAGGAAAACACACATTACTCCTTTGTGTATATATCATACTAATCAGCCAAAATCACAGTTGCTTGCAGTAACGCCCTTCCTCGCTAGGGAACATTATATTAATCTTTACAGTGTCCAGCACAAGTTGCTCTCCTCAAAAAACAGAAGAGTCGTACACAAAACAAACTTTCCTACAGACTACACCGGCAAACGACAGCTTTTTCAAAAGCACTTGTTTAAATTGAGTCTGCAGATGACAATATCATCTAATGCAGATAGTAAAGATCAACATGTTGTAAATACTAAAATAATATATGAAAGGTGATGTAGAATTATAGCATAATTAAGGAGGTCCAGTTTATTTAACGTGACAGTCCTTGCTTGCTTTTATTTGGTCACTGACCATATTTCATATTCCCATGGATTCTCTACTGACAGCAAGTAGGTTCTTACGTATACTGACAGTCAATAAGGTTTAAAAGGTTGACAAATACCATTCTCTAGGCTTGTCTTTGCCTCCTTCCACCTGTTCTACTGCCCACTGTGCCCCTTATTCGTCACTAAGTCTTGTAAATTGAGCCAGTCACCAGTCAATGCCTTCTTTTCTTTTCTGGCCTCATTTTATATAGCCTGGGTGTCAGGCTGTTGCCAGGGCTGGTATATAGGCAAGCTTATGGGCTCCAGGACCAACCTAGCCTGGGTAGCATATATCCTGATTAGTTTTATGTTGGTCGGTAGCAACTGTAGGAGTGGACATAAACTAACCAGGATGGTACCCAGGCCAGGGCTAACCTGTCCCCTTAGCTATCTTATCACAGACCCAGCCAAACTGAGAACTGTCCTTTGTGGCCCTGGGAACAGTATGGCATCCAGGCTATGTTTCATATTGTAGCTTCAGAAAGGACTTACATACGATATTGTAAAGTTGAAAATATTCAATGGCTACCATCCATGGCTATTTTTCACTTTCCTGTTCCTTGCCCCCAATTTGAGCAGAATGTATGGTTCCATGCTTAGAATGTGGCCCTTGAGGTTTTTGTTCCTCTCTGAGGCAAGAAGACTGTATTACTGATGTATTGGTGATATTGTACTTTCTGCCTTGTTGTGTATGGTGGACATATCTGATGTTGGTGCCCTACCGACAGTATTATATGTCATTGTGCTCCCTATTAACTTACAGTCCATTGAAGTCTTCCCATTTCATCCACACATGGCTGACACACAGATAACCCCCAGGGCTCGAAATAATTTTTTTTGCATACCTGTGCTGGTTCAGGTAACATTGAAAATTATGTGTACCTTTGCCAGACAAGTTGTATCTGCACAACTCAGAATTTACGAAGGTTGGATCACAGCTTCATGCTAAAAACTGTTCATAAATCATTGCCATTATTTCTTTTATACTTCATAGGTGGTAACAGTTAATGCTACAAACAAAAATCCACATACACCTACATGTATATATAGACCAGTTCAGGTTAGGTGCAGGTAGACATCAGAAATACCTGCACAGGTCACTTTCACTTACACTAAGCTGCATATGCAGGTGGTATTTCAAGCCCTGCCCTGGTTTCAATTCTTTGGCCCATGTTGAAAATTTTTCATCTTATATACTGGTTAATAAGACTATTAGAATGATGGGCACGGATACAGTAAACTAGGGTACAACAAACTCTCAAATGTGTCGTTAAGGCTTTTGTCTGCCGTAATTGCTACCTGGAGATATATAGTTGGCATTAAATTAATGCAAATTGTAGCTCATACTAGATAACATATTACATATTCCCTCATTTTTCATCAAGGACTATACCATTGGAAAATACATGAGGGGTGAACTGTTAACCTTTCTGATATTTTTCTTTTTTCATTTTCATTCAAGTAACTAGTAAAGTTCCCCAGTGGTAACTTTTAGCACTGGTACAATGGATTGTATGAAGACTGTAGGGAGTTGCCATCACTAGCAGTCTTTCTCAGTCACCTTATTATCTGATATTTAAAAAAAAATGATCTGTTGGCCATCACCCCCCATCAACTGTTTCAAGTGAAATATCCTTGACACAACATTTGGAAGCACACATCACTAGTCAGGCATGAATTCACATTTGTGATCTGTTTTGCTTGCAGTGTTTCTAAGCAGATAGGCATTGCTGGCCAGCCATGGAGGACTACAAGTTCCTGTTTAAGATAGTGTTGATAGGCAACGCAGGGGTTGGGAAGACTTGCCTCGTCAGACGTTTCACACAGGTGAGTTTGTTTGTTTGTTTTGCATAACCGATTAACTGCCTATAGGCATAATACACCAATTTTGAACAGTAAGTTCAAGCTGATCAGACTAAGGTTTAATGTACTCACACTGGTAAGGATTAATTTTCATTTGCCCATAGTTTTTGCTCACACAAAATAGTGCACATCTGTGCATAATGTCATCTTCAAATGCATATAAGCATAGACATGTATAGTGTCAATCGTACTGAGCTTGTCATCTGTGATTATACTAAATTTTCACAGATGCTCCGTTGGTGAGTACTTGTTTTGTAACCAGATAGGTGCGTTCCCACTGTGTACAGTAAACCATTGTGAAAACATTTTTTCAGGGCTGGAAGCAGCAACAATGTAGACAGTTACATACTATACTGCTGCATGTACTAGACACCAATATATAGTTTACCATGTACAGCATTTGGGACTTTTGGGTCATACCATTTTCCTTGTTCCTTCCCTACAGGGCCTGTTCCCCCCTGGACAGGGAGCTACCATTGGTGTAGACTTCATGATCAAGACAGTGGATGTGGATGGGGACAAGGTCAAGGTAAGATAGCCGCCATGCTTCATAGATCTAGCACATTGGCAGAACATACTGCACCTGCACACAACTTCAGCGGAACATTTTGTTTAAAGTCATATCCAGTCATACCAAAGACTTTAGAAATGGTACATGCTGCTTTCTCTGCTTAGCACTCAGCATTTGGGAAAGAGTATGGGAGTTAAACACACACCACTACCAGTCAGACTTGTGACAAACCCTACAGGAGCAGAGCCTGTCTAGTTGCTCACAGTCGAGTCCACAAACAGTGAACAGATGCACCTGCCAGGATGCAAAGGACTATGATGATGACCAGTGGACTAACCCCCTGCTTAGCACTCAGCATTTGGGAAAGAGTATGGGAGTTAAACACACACCACTACCAGTCAGACTTGTGACAAACCCTACAGGAGCAGAGCCTGTCTAGTTGCTCACAGTCGAGTCCACAAACAGTGAACAGATGCACCTGCCAGGATGCAAAGGACTATGATGATGACCAGTGGACTAACCCCCTGCTGTACAACTGTGTGGCCCAAGAGCTACTGAAACAGATCACTCACTTGACAGGTTTTCTTTTGCTACGAATTTGTGTCCAAAACACTTCAGCTTCTTCTTTTTCACCATGGGAAAGAAGCTGGGCAGTGGTCCTGCTAGGGCATTGTTTCATGTCTCTGTTTTTGGAGATGGCGCTGCCATATATACCAAGTGTGGGAGGGACTTTAAGAGGATAGATGAGTGAAGATGAGACGAGATGAAAACGTTGCATGTCTCTGTACCTCACAGCTGCAGATCTGGGACACGGCAGGTCAGGAGAGGTTCCGCTCCATCACCCAGAGTTACTACAGAAGTGCCCACGCCCTCATCCTGGTGTACGACGTCACGTCCAGGGAGACCTTCGACTGCCTGCCTGAGTGGTTGAAGGAGATCGAGCAGTACGCTAACCAGCAGGTCATCACTGTGCTAGTCGGTAAGGACATGTCTGTATACAGTACGCTAACCAGCAGGTCATCACTGTGCTAGTTGGTAAGACGTGTCTGTATACAGTACGCTACCAGCAGGTCATCACTGTGCTAGTCGATAAGGACATGTCTGTATACAGTATACTAACCAGCAGGTCATCACTGTGCTAGTCGGTAAGGACATGTCTGTATACAGTATGCTAACCAGCAGGTCATCACTGTGCTAGTCGGTAAGGACATGTCTGTATACAGTACGCTAACTAGCAGGTCATCACTGTGCTAGTCGGTAAGGACATGTCTGTATACAGTACGCTAACCAGCAGGTCATCACTGTGCTAGTCGGTAAGGACATGTCTGTATACAGTACGCTAACCAGCAGGTCATCACTGTGCTAGTCGGTAAGGTCTCCTCTGTACTTCTGTACAGAATTTCTGATGAGAGATTTGGGAATCCCATATCCGACAATGCACTTACTGCAATTGTTTGCTTGTTTTGTATCACTGGCCTTTCCCAAGGGCACAACAACAGGGCCTGCTAGGGATTCAAAGAACCTTCAGATTCTGAGTCAAGAAGCCTAACTAACAAAATCATTGATGTTTCTGACTTCAAGTTGGTAGAAAAGATGCTGTTCCAGCCCAAACTTCATTCAGTTTCTTAAGATGTTCTAACTTGAAGTAACAATTTTACCTCTGCAGGAAACAAGATCGACCTGACATCACAAAGAGAAGTTCCACCAGAAACAGGTCTCCAGTTCGCACAGGCCAACAACATGGCCTTCCTGGAGGCGTCAGCCAAGGAGGCGGAAAACGTAGAAACGGTCTTCATGGACCTCGCCAGGGAGCTAACCAAAAACGCCCGCAAGTACCTGTTAAGGAACACACAAGAGGTGGACCCCAACATCACCGAAATCACAGGAGAGACCACTAATATCTCATATGGGGGCTGCTGTGGGTCTGGCTGATAGGTCTGGTAGTTGTAATTGTTGTTGTATGAATATACATTGGGTGCCTATGTATAAAAGGGATTTGAAGTGAAAATGAAGGTCCAATACACATGCCAGGACTGTGAGGGATGAAAGCCAGCTCCTTGCTTAAATACTCTTACATGCAGTGATACCTGTTGGATCTACAGTCAAAACTGCCCAAGATGAGCACTCAGGGACCTATTATCTATGTGGACAAGTGGTCACTATAGACAAGAGTTCTTTTGGAAATATCATCTAAGGAACTGTCAAAAAGTGGTTACATTGACCAAGACTTAGTGGCCATGGTCCTTATGTAGAGGTGGTCACTCGTACAGGTTTGACTGTATATCATTGGACAGGTGGTCCTTGTGTACAGGTGTTCACTTGTACAGGTTTGACTGTATATCAATGACCAGGTGGTCCTTATGTAGAGGTAGTCACTTATACAGGTTTGACTGTAAATGATGTGGGTTGAAAGCAAAACGAAGCTAGGGTTCGTTCGTCACAGTCACTGCAAGTGTACAGGACTCTTCTGTATTCTGATGTACGATACTTGTACTTCATCTGACAAGGAAGTCCTTGTTACAGGATCTAGTAGTGGTTAGCCTCCTTCGCAGTCTTGTTGGGCGTGGGCGTAATTTTTTCTGTGAGCGACGCGAGTAATATGCCGCCGCGAGGGACGATTTGCTGCCGAGGGACTTTTGCCACGGAGAGAAGGTTTCCGCGCTCCAACAAGACTGCTTCCAATCGGCGACTAAAAAGGGCTATCAAAAAACACTTAGGAGCGATTGGCATGGATGTGTGAACTTCCCGCAATAAACGCCACCAGTGCAGGGAGGTGTTCACGCCCCATTCCTCGACGAGCCGAAACTTGCAACTTTCTAGCGGTCGCCGATCAACCCGTCGGTAGAACGCCAACCATTCCCGAAAACCGAGCCCTATCCACTCAACAAAATCCCGTAGTCATTGCTGCTACGAAAAACAACTTTAAACAGATCACTACCACAGGAACCCGCAAGCTAAGCGATATTGCTGGGGGGACGTGCACAGATAAAAAAAGTGCCGCCATGTTGTTTGGTGGCGGGTTGATCTCACTGGTCATAGGAGGGTAACGCACCGCTCCGCAGCAAGTTGTGTAATAAAAAGAATGGCACATTTCACCAGCAAAAATAGTACTGCAAAGTTTGTCTTGGTTTGTTTGCATGGGAGGCTTAAAAACTGCACAGCAATGCCTTTGTTGTAACATTACCAATGTTCAACCTTTCTCTGTTGGAACGCATTTTATTCAGCTAATAGAACCAACCGTTGACAAAAGGCGAGCGCTCCATGCGTATCTGTGAATTACCCTTGCGCGAACATGTGAATTGGACCTGCGCGAACATGTGAATTGGACCTGCACGAACATGTTAATAGCCTCTATGAAAGGCTGGCTTAATCCGAGGTCCTTTCTAGTCGCCGATTGGAAGCAGTCTTGTTGGAGCGCGGAAACCTTCTCTCCGTGGCAAAAGTCCCTCGGCAGCAAATCGTCCCTCGCGGCGGCATATTACTCGCGTCGCTCACAGAAAAAATTACGCCCACGCCCAACAAGACTGCGAAGGAGGCTAAGTAGTGGTAGTGTACACTCAAGGTAGGAGAGGTGTAATATTGTCTGGTAGAATTACATTATAGACCAGGGGGCCCACTGGTGGCAGGTCTGAAGCAAATTGTCTTGACAATAATTGTTTTCAGACAGATAGAACTTATAGTTGCTGGAGCTGATAAGGTTTGGGAGAAAGTAGTAACTGATGTCCCAACACATCACTGTATTCTATCGAATCATAGGGAATTCTGAGTTTTATCTTGTAAAAGTGTATGAGTGGTGATTAAGACCAACTACATGTACATCATGTATGTATTTGAAAGTGGCCTACAGTCAAAATGCCCAAGACCACTCAGGGGACCGAGAACATCTGGTCACGTGGACAGGATTCGTAATGCTTGTGTCAATGCGAAAAATATGGTCTAATATTAGTAATAAGGGACCACCAAAAAGTGGTCACATTGGCCAGGAGGTCCTTATGTAGAGGTGGTCACTTAGTCTTAAGATCAATTCAGGGCTCATTACATGTATCTGTGCTTACATGAAACTACCACTATCGTAAATGGTATGTATAAAAGTGTAACCGCTCAACTTTACAGGTTTTCTTACCGAAGGCATTTATTAATCCTTCCGAATTTAACAAGACTACACTGATAATGGTAGTATTGAACTAACACCATATACCACACATGCATAAAAGCAACAGTGCCAGACAAACCAAGTGGGAAGGAAAGACTAGTGAAAACAATAAACCTCATTTAGATTGGGACTATTGTATCCAGATGTGTGCCTATCTAGTTCTATGCCTGAATCGGGTAGGATCAGGCACGGTTCTGGATAGTCTATATGTATCCAAGAACATATCTTAGCCATAGCCCCAGGCACGGTTCTGGATATGCATAGACTATCCAGAACCAGTTCTGGATACAACAAAACAGTTTCTGAGGCAGCATTGACTGTGCATTGAGACTTCACCTCACAGAAGCTATGATCTAGTTTTTTTCTTTCTCGGACATCCCAAACTGGAGTTAAGTTTTCAGCCTTCCAGGCAAAATTGCCCAAGCCTGACACCAAAAATAACATGGACCTCACAGAGCACCCAATTTCAGGTAAAATTTTCATCCAAACTTTCCTTTTTTAAAGAAAACCCTGTAACTGGTTGAAGTCTAAATGTGGATTAAGAATAGGCCGGAAACCAGTCTTCGCTTTAGTCTGCTTCCAACGGTAGCAAGCATTGGAAGTGGACTAAAGCTAACAAGACAGGATTCCAGGCTATAAGAAGGAACCTTCCCTCACAAAGCTGATACTGGAACATTTGATTCTGAGTATGGTCGGACCAAGAATGTCTCTCAGGGCTGGATGCATTACTGTCTCGTTTACTTAGTCTAGTAGTTCTGTTAGAGTCAACAGTGTTCCATTGAATTTGACCAGTAGTTGTCATGAAATTTTCATTGTAAGAGTTGAGAAGTTGGTGTACTGCGAGGTAGACAATAAATGAAATTTTGACCATACAATTATTAACTTTTCAAATTACAGAGAAATGCTTCAGTACATTGTTGCATTGTAAACACTCTTTATGTCTTGCTGGTAAAAGCATGCCATTGTGCATGTGATGCTATGGGCTGTTTCTAAATGGTGCTGTTTACTGTACTGTCAGATACTTTAAAGGTAGCAAATGTGCTACAGAGAATTTGCTGTATTATTTCAGCCATGCTTGAATATACTGTAGCCCCATCAGGCTTTGGAAGTGGCTGGAAAGAGTAGAAATTGGGCAAATAGACAGACAACATGCCAGCTACTCTGCTAAAGAAGCGCATGTACATTTGCTGCACCTGAATGTACTACTTTGGCGGATCAACTTTCCTGGTATGTTATTTGGCCAATTTGTAGCTGCGTCTGAAGCCTGGTAGTGGCTAGCTTAATACATTTCAGCTCAGCTGAGACAGTATTACGTGCTTTGAATTACTTTTGAATGATTCTATCTGTAGTTGAACTCTAAGTAAATGTAAGCTGGAAAACAATTTAGACCTCAGCTCAGCTCCAAGTCATGCATCTTTTGCTCTGGCTCAAGTCTAATGTACATAATAAGCTGTGTATGAATTGTACACAATTGCATATCTAAGTTATTCTGGCTAACGTAAGGTATATTTTGTGATGTAGTAGCATATCTATGCAGTGGGACTAGTTTCTGTGACTCTTTGTGGTGCTAAGTGGAGTGTAGAATGCTGTCTTTCTGATTTGCCAAATGTGTATGTAACAAATTCCTTACAATGTGTATTCTTCGACTAGTAAAATCCCACCTACATGTAAACTCCCCTTGGAGCTGTATGAATTCTGCATGTAATCAAAGAGGTTTTATGAAATAGATAGCACCTCTTTGATGTAATAGAATTCCAGGACAAAACTGTCAAAGAAGACCACTCAGGGGACCAAGAAAATCTGGTCAATGTGGACAGGTGGTCACTATAGACAGGATTCTTCATGCTTGTGTCAACGGGAAAATTATCTAAGGGATCACCAGAAGTGGTCACATTGGCCAGGTGGTCCTTGTGTAGAGTTGGTCACTTGTACAGGTTTGACTGTAATTTTGGGCCACCTTTCAAAGCAGGTTGAAGAACTCTAAAAGTGTACAAGACAACATTTTAGAACATTTTATGTTCATTAATCAGACGTGACTTATGTTGTACTATGGAGCTGAAGTTATATAACTTATATATTATATGTTGTTATTTGTTGATGGCTCTTAATAATTTCAAAGGTACATGTAAAGAGGGGGTGGACAAGATTCAAGATATTGGATGGGAAGGATTTGTCAGACATTCTGTTACAATGTATTTGTTATAGAGTTGACAGGATACTAAAAGGGTGTTTATATCATGGACGTTGTGGTATTATAAAGTTATGGACCTTCATGGTCAAAGTTGTAACAAAGGCCTGTGACAAGTCTCTGCAGTCTTGTTTATTCATAATTTGTAAATATGCAGCTTTTGGATGTAATAGTAATATGAACAACACACACACACATAATATGGTGTATACAAAGTTGACATATACAGGGAAACCCCTATGTTTCAAAACCCTTAACAGTATGTTTTGATAGGCACAGTTGGTAGCATACAAAACACAAATTTCAATATCAATAGCCACAAAATGGAATGATCAGAGTTAAACAAGTTCTCTGCCTGGCTGTGCAACATCTGGCTCCTATGAATTAAAAAAAGGAATGTCAAAATGTCCACTTCTTCAACCTTCAGAAATCTTCTGGTCACACCAGTCTATTTACTTGGTTTTCTGACATTTTAATTTGAAAATCTAGCAAGGGGACATAGTAAAGAGAGGGAAGGGAGACTAAGGAAAACTTGAATATGTCTTTATTCACTCCAGAAAACCAAGGAGGTTTAACCCAGGCTAACCTTGACAAAACAGAACATCGCTCTGGTTCTCAAGCAGTTTTCATCATGATTTTCCAGTTAAGCATATGTTTTTCAGAAACAACAAACTAGATTGGTGTTGCCTAATACGTCAAGAACATATATACATTTAGATCATATGTCAGCCCCCGAGGTAGCATGAATGTAAGTCATAGCAGGCTGAACACGTTTTGTGTAGTTTTTGTACTCTCACATGCGTAGTACAGTTTTTGTACCATTTAATAGGTTTTTGCCCATGTTTAAACCGGGTTATCATTCTACTGCCTGTGAAACAGGCGCTTGCAAAGTGACATGACAGCTGTGTGTTGTCGTACGTTGACCGGTGAGTCTGGAATAGGCGAATCACCAAACAGATCAGGAGATGCCCCCAAGTCACCACCTTCACTGTCACCATGCAAAACTAGTCTCAAACAAGTCAGGAGTACCAGTACCCTGGAAGGCATCATCGACAGGGAACCTGACTACATTTTTTAACATGCAGGAGACCCTTCTTCTGCACGGTCTGTCCTGCGTTCCTGGAACAATTCCGTCACTACCGCTGTCACGCGGTGAGAGCTGGGAAAAGAAGTTGGGTGTGGAATCATATTTACCTACTGATTTCGCTACTCTGACATGCCTTCTGTCTGCTGATGTCGGGGACAGTTGTGAGAAAAAGTTTGGTGTACCTTCACCTGACATTGGTGTCTTGATTCTGGCTACACTAGTGGCCACCTTCTTGCCACTTGGCAACCTTTGGGAAAACAATTCAGGCGTCCCCTCACATGTAATAGAACTCTTATAATAGTTATCTATAATTGGCTGAAGTGGTGATTTCCTTGTTGAAGCCCTTAAAGAGTGAGAAACTATTGGGAGAGACTTCAACACAGAGTTTGAGACAGTGTAATCTTCAAACACTTCCTCAGTTCCTGTCACCTGGCTGACTTCGTGCACTGATTCTAAGTGGCTTGAAAAGTGGACACTCTTCCTTCTCTGCCTTTCTTGCTTCCCCTTCAGTTCTTCGAATGGCTCATTCTTTGTTTCTGCACCTGGCAAAATGGAGCTGCTGTAAGCACTGTCAGAGACCTTTCCGTCACCAGCGGTAGAGTTGAACGACGTGCCTCTTACGGAGAGGAAACTCCGACACTTGTTGTCATGGGGTGTGTCTGCAAGCTCATTGGGCGAGCTGTCCGGGCTGTCGCAATCACTGGTAGTTGTGTGGAGATTACCGCTTTCTGTCCGAGTAGGATTTGCACCGTCGCGCTCTGTTGGCAGTCTTGTAGTTGTAGCAGCTAGGTATTTTCCCATTCTTTGTAACCGGAGATGTTTCTGTATTCTCCATGTTAAAACTCCTCGTGCTTGTTCTGCTGGCTCTTAATACAGAAGCCGCTCTGGATGGAGGACCTGGTGTGTCTGGTAGCTCATTCACGCCCCCTACCTCTCCACAACTGTCCCTGCAGGGACCCACAGATTCTGTGTCACTCAGATGGCCAAACGATTCATCAAATAGAGCAGAGAAGTCGTGATTTTCCTCTGAAGCTGCCATGAAAACTACATTCTCTGTTGAGTCCTGTGGCTGCTCTACACTCTTATCACCAGTTGGGAACTTTGCTGAGGATGTTTCACCCTTTTCAGAGTCTGGGATAGAAACAATGGAAGATGACCTCACGACAGATGGCTGCTGAACTGAAGATGACATGGACAAAACTGAATCAGTGTCAGACTCAGAGACAATCTTATCTCTGTAACGTGATGTGCTGTCACTGTCACTGTCACATTCTCCAGTAAGGTCTCTAGAATCTTTCTCCTCTGTCTCCTTGTCTATACTCTCATCTGATGTCTCAGTCGTTTGATCGGTTTCTGCAGAATTCAAAGCCAGGATTGTTTTCCGTCTCACCAATCGTTCAAAAAGAGATTTTGTTCTGCCTATCTTGTCAGTGTTTTTGATATCCTTTTTGTCAGTGTTAGTTTTAAGAAGGGATGAATTTGTTCTGCTACCCTCCATGTCAGCAGTACTACCAGTTTCTGCCCTGCATTGATGAATGTCTACAGTTGTCTCAACCGAGGTAACACACTTGTCTGTTTCATCTTCAATGGGCCGCTGAGCTATCTCTTTGACCACATGTACATCCTCTTTTCTTTCTCTTTCTACAGTGATGTTTTCATCCATTTCTGCCAAGAACGCGTCCAGATCTTCAGAGTATGGAAAGTCTTCCTGCCACATTGCCTGAATTTCTTTCTCTTCTTCAATGTTACATAAAATCATGTTTTCATGCTTTTCTTTCATATTCAATCCATTGTCCTCAATTATGTTGGTGCAATTTTTTGATATGCCACTCTCTGGTTGTACCAAACATTCTTCTTGCCTTGAGATTTTGTCTTCTACATTTGAGTCTGCCATATCCTTCTCGTGGCTACTAGCTGTAGTATGACGCAGTCTTTCCAGAGGGCCTTGCACAGGCTGGTCCAGCTGGTCTATGAAGGTGTCCAGACCTTCTGAATACGGTAAGTCGTCACAAGACGTCTTGGTCTCATGATGCCGTACGTCTTCACTACCACTACTACTGCCCTGGTGAGTTGGGTCGACCTCCCTCTTGCATACGTTGTGAGTTTGGTCACTGCAACAGTCAAAATGATCTTTATCATTGTCTTTCTCTGGCATGTGCCTGTCATCACTGTTAAGCTCTGCCAATAACAGATAACTGTCATTGACAGATTCATCAAAACTCAATTCTTCATTTGGAACTTCATCTTCTGTAGAAGTTTTACACGTTGGAATATCGTGTTCATGTGTCCAACTGTAAGCTTCCTGTCCAGCCAGCTGTGGGTTGTACAATGCTTCTACCTCAGGGTCTCCACAAGTCTCATCGGATGTATGCAGGTGGGTACAGTCATGGCACATCTCCCCTATTGCTGCTGCCTGTTAATGAGAGAACAAAAAAACTGTACAAGCAGTCAAATGGAAAATGAACTACATTTAATATTCAAAACATTATATATAAAGAATTATCCTTAGAAACCTACAAATGTATTAAAGCTTATCACACCTGAGTGATGAACAAATCTTCTTGCATTTCTATGATTCATTTCTATAATTCATTTCCAATCTCTGTTAAGGATACACAATTTGTATACCAGCTGCAGTGTTTTGCTTTGTTTTCTTTGCAATAAGTCTTCAGGCATGGTTATAAAATTGCAAGTTGATATAATAAAAATAATAATGATTACTATTATTGCTGTGTATTTCACCTGTTCCTTCTGCACATGCGCTCTCATTGCACTACCATCTCCTCTGTCAGACTGGTGATCATTTTGTTGCTCTTCGTGACTCAAGTTTCCTGGTGTCTCCCCTTCCCAACATGTCTCGTCAAAGGCTCCTTCCAGAAACTGTGCTGACATATTCTCACATCCGCTAGTGTTAGAACATTCTTGATGAACGTCATTTTTTCCTTCTTGCTCATTTCCACCACCACCAACATCATCTATCACAACATGATGTCTGGTTGCTGAGCATGCTCTATTTTCCATTCTCCCATCTAGACCTTCTACCTGTACATCACAAACCTCATTTTGTTTAGCAACTTCTGAGGCATTAGCGTGAAAATAATATGACTCACTATGCAGCTGCAGGTTTTCTTCATAATATGTCTCATCCCAAGAATAAGTACTGTGGTTGATGCTAGAGTCTGTTTTCTCGTCTGATTCGTTCTGTAAGTCATCTGACATGGTGGAAGACATTAGACTATTGCCTTCATCACAGCTTAAAACCAGCGACTGCTGACCGAGGCTTACTCTTGATAAAGTCTGTCCAAACGACGTTCTTGCGCTGTTACCCGAGCACCAAGAGATATCAGAGCTGTTCACACTCCTTCTAGATGGCAAGGTGTTTCTAGGAACACCAAACTCACTTGTACTTGTTTCTCTGGCTTTGTTGTCATCAGTTTCCAGAATTATCCATTTGAGCAAATCCAGTACGCTTACAAAAGGCGTGTCTCTGTTAGCGTGGACCAATTGGTGAGCCACGAGTTGAGGTAGATTTTTTCCGAGGTATCCGTTCCTCTGCTGACAAGTCTTTTCCAAGATGCTTCGTATCCTGACGGGCGAGTGTCTCTCCCTCTGTGACCTTGACCTTTCACATTTAACCTTGAATCCGAAAAGGAACATCAACCCAACCAGAGACTTCTGCAGTGCCTCATGTAGAAGGGAGTCTGGATTGTTGGGTGTTGAGGCCTTGCTTGTTTTTAGATGATTTTGAAGAAAACTGAGGGGAAAAACAGAAACATAAATAATGTCAAATGTAAAAGAAAGCTGGTAAAGGTAGGAAGTCTTGTAGCCTCCTTGATGATCCACCGTGTCTAAGGCACAGTATTGGAAGGCAGAGCCTACTATCTCTCTCATTATATCTCACCAATTTTCAAGGTGGGTGGAGAGAGAAAAGTGTGCCCTTCCCAAGAACACAGTATCTAGCCAGGAATACAAGGAATAGAACCTGTGAGCTCTTGACCTTGAACTTATTCCAACAAAAAGTTGACCAAACAGTATTCAAGACATGTTTTCCTCTAAGTTTAACCAGTTTGTCTCTGGATCTGAAAAGTCTATTGTAAGAACAGAGCGCTCAATCACGGCGGTCGGTTGCTAGGCTAAAAGTCGCATTACTAGGGAGGTATCGGGTTACAGAACGTGTTCGAACGTGGCCGCGCGGTAGTCCCAGGCCGGCCCGGGGGCAACGGGTAAAATTTGAAAATAAACAAAAGTAATTGGAGAGTAAACACTCGTCAAAATAAAATGTAATAAGTGATTTTGTTTACCTCAAATGTTATTCTTGCACTGCATTTGCTCAACTTTGTGTACATTTGCTTCCAAATGAGATCAATTTCGGATTTCAAAAAGGGTTCACTAGAACCAAACAACTGATTTTAAGAGGCCCCGAAAATTAAAAATAAGGTTAGATTTTTGGATTTTTAGAAATATTATAGTAAAATTAAACTTTCTGTCTTAGGATTTTTTTATTTTTTAACTAAAACTCGACTTACAGTCAAAAGAAGAGCTAAAAACGCAGTGTTTTAACTTTAAATACCGATAATTCATAATCGGGGCCATATTTAAAAAATCCCTAAGACAGAAATCTGCGGAAACCGTTCCTCTTCCAAACAAGCCCTCAATGAGGTAATTTGAGCGATTTTTGGGAATGGTTAAAATACCATGTTTGCACGCATGCTGTGCCACTTGGATATGGGGACCTGGATTTTATAACAGCGTCAACAAGAATTCTGACCTTCAAGGTCACCCACGATGACGGTAGTAGCTTCGTTACATGTTACATATCCACTATGAAATCACGGCATAGAAGTAATGTTTTGAAAACGGCTCATATTTGTGGAAAGGTGTACTCTCATGTCCCTAATAAACATACCCCCCGGAATAAACATACCCCCCGGACAAATCGTCAAAGTCTAATAAACATACCCTCCGGAATAAACATACCCCCCGGAAAATGACCAAATTGACAGGTGAACTGTGTGTCTTTCATACTAAAATGTGCTCTTTATGTCAATACCAATATATTGGCAAATCTTTCACTGTTACATTTAATTAGTGAGTATATATCACTTTAATTAATGAGTATACTAGTATATATATATTGTACTTGTTTTGGGGAAATACAAAATCCGTAGGAGAAGCTATTGCATTTTACACTTCTGAAATGCACTTTGCTAAGCCTTCTCCTGCAACTTGAGTTGAAAATCTGACTAACTTAAGAGATAGAAAATCAAGCCCAATTAAGTACAAATATAGGGGTTTAATGAGTATATCTACAACAAAATCCATTTCAACATAATAATTATTTGGTATGGTACATTGTCTAGTCTGGTCAAAGTCTGGATTCTGAAGAAGAAAAACTTCTGAAGAAAAAAACTTTTGAAGAAAAAAAATATTATTCAGCATAAAATTTTGATTGGTTTCCATCTCATTGTTTTTTAAAAAATCGATAATGTGATTGTATCAATTCCTAAAATTAGCTAAATCGGCGCTTTTACGGTGATTGCGCAATATGGGTGCCCTATGACCTTTGACTTTTTACGGGTCATGCTGCTCAGGCGCTAGGCGCCCTCCCCACGTCGGCCGTCCGTCTTGTGGGCAAATTTCTACTTTTTTAGGGGTTTCGGGACCTAAAAACTAACACCAGAGGGAAAATAAACCACATACGTTTTTTTCATGGTAAATGTCGCTAAAATGGACCAGGCATTTTTCTGCCGCGTTGCCGATTTTGACAAGGACTTGCGGCCGCCATGTGCTAAATACGTCGATTAGCTACTCGCCTTCCCCTTCGGTTTTGTGGGCAAATTTTTGCTTTTTCAGACGTTTTGGGACTTAAAAATGGACAGCAGGCGAAAAATAAATAATATACATTATATTCATGGGAAATGCCGCTATCATGGACCAAATATTTATCTGTGACGTGTTGCCGAATTTTGCGGCCGCCGGCCACTTGCTGATGGTGCGGTACGTACGGACAATTTTTTCCCAAAAATTAATAAACGTACCGTCCCTAATAAGAATGTACCGGGTGGACGTTCGGGCCGAAAAAAATAAACGTACCGGTACGTTTAATCGGGACATCAGAGTATTTTTCCTGTTCCGTGGTTCCCAAGTAAAAAAGGGCTTGAAGTAGCCGGTTGTAGCGGCTTTACTGTGAATGACCGCGGGTAACCCCGGATCGAACGCCCGCTCTATTCGAATGACGTCATATCGAACAAGATTCGCGGGTTCGGGGGATTCGATCTCCATAGTAGCGGAGTGGGACTTTTGGGCCCAAATCTGACCATCGTGAATCATGACAGAACAAAATGTATCTCTATTAAAAAGACCAACCTCTTTAGTCCATTTGCACTTATCCCAAAGAAAGGTTCCAGACAGGTACCAAACACGGCTACTTCACACAGGGTCTGGTCGTCTGTGACGGTGAGGTTGAGACAGTACCTGTACCTGATGTCTGCAGCTATGTACACGGCATGGCATCTCAGGCACTCATATCTGCAGGGAAAACAGTTGCATGCGCAGTTGTTAGAAAAATTGGAGACAAAATGATAGGACAGAAGATGTCGGGAGGTGATCCTCAATTGACATGAATTACATGTATACTTATAATATTACATGTACTTTTAGTATGTTAGGAAAGAGATTTAGTAGAATCGGACAGTTATCAGAGATTCCAATTGGGATCTTTACAAGATTTGCTACAGTTCAAGTTTATACTATAGCCAACCACAACTGTCACTCCTACTCTTCTTGATAAGTGTGTATTACACCCAGAGGTGTGTATTTACACACATAAGTGTGTATTAAACACGTCAGTGGGATTACTGATTGCTCCATGGCAGCTGCAGGGCTTCAGACTAACTTTTTGAAGTTATGAGCACTGTGCTTCCAACCCAAAACAATTGGGCGCACCAGCAAAAAAATAGCCAACCACAACTGTCACCCCTACTCTTCTCAATAAGTGTGTATTACACTCAGAGGTGTGTATTACACACATAAGTGTGAATTACACATGCATATTACCCTAATTACAATATTCATAACCGTTACATTATCTACATAAATATAATAATTGATCTGTATAAATTGGTAAAGGTTCCCCGCTATGACCCCTAACCAGTGGGACCAACGGTACCGGTGCTTTCACAAGAAAAAATAATACATGATACAAACTGTACATGCATTTTCCTGCATGTTCGGTTTCCACCATTTACCTGTTCCCATCTGTGTGCTGATGCAGCTTGCGGTAACAGTGGGTACAGCTGACATACAGACAGCAGCTGTCTCTCACTGACAGCACCTTGGCCAACACCAGGGTACGGAACTCTCCCATAGACCTGAAAAAGAAAGGGCACGTGTGTATCATTAAATGTAATATGTAAATGTAACATTTTTTCTGTTATACTTAAACTTTTTAGCGAATGTTGTTTTATCAAGATCATCCTGTCAATAGTTTTCTTATAGTTTGACAGGATCATCCTGTCAATAGCCTCAGGCAACTGACAAACTTTCAACTTTTGATACAGTGTTTGAGCAATTTTCTCACACAAAGAAAGAATGGTTCAACACAGGATATGACACAAAAACTGTCAAGGAAAAGCCACCTTTCGAAACAGCATGAAACACAAAGCCGCCCCCCCCCTCCCCACACTGAAAACTACAACGTTTAAAAGTACGACTGTCTTTTAACGCATAACGGTTACCTACAAACAGTAACATCAGATATTTTGACACTTACAACTGCAGAACATGTAACTAGCGTTACCTATCATATCTTGCGAGGAAAAGCGAACGGAATCTGTCTAATGTACCGGACTCAGCTCGGCTTTCAAATTTCCCACAACAACCTCAACAGACCAATCGGCGTCACGGACAACGTTTTGCGGTATGTCGTAAGGACTATGGAAAATCAAAATCACCCCTTAAAAACCATCTAATAACAAAAGTTAACAATCTAAAACATCACAAATACTTCATCTTTGAGTCTAAAATGAAGTAAATGTGACTGTTTTTCGGAAAATTCGTGTTTTATGTATTTTACGACATGCCGGAAAGCAGACTGGTACAGTGAGTGCTAAGCAGATGAAAGATGTGGTCTTGCCGACTGAGAAGTTCACTTTCGGTCAACTTCAGACACTTACGGAAATGTACAACGTACACCAAGGCCAGTCGGATATGGGAAGTCCTCTCGACGAAGCCTCCAGAAAACGGGGTGCCTTTAAAACTGCAGGTATGATAGTGTGTGCCCCTCCCCCTTTTTGCACTGATATTCTGTATTCACGTGTATTGAAAAAAGCCTGAGGCTATTGACAGGATCGTCCTGTCAACAGCAGGAAATACTGCACTGCTGACAGGATCGTCCTGTCAATAGCAGAAAATACTGCACTGCTGACAGGACGATCCTGTCAATAGCAGAAAATATTGCACTGCTGACAGGACGATCCTGTCAATAACAGGAAATACTGCATTGCTGACAGGATCGTCCTGTCAGCAGTGCCATTTTTGACACTGTTGACAGGATCGTCCTGTCAGCAGTGCCATTTTTGGCACTATTGACAGGATTTTTTAAATCTTCCATTTTGGGCTCTATTGACATGATTTCTTCTTTGTTTTCATTTGTTTAACCAGTCAGAAGGCATATGCTACTGTACTGCAGATTAGGCGTTTCACGATGGCGGCTATCATCACGTTAACAGTTATCAATACAGAGTACTCCAGCAGATATATGTCAAAACTAGACA